CACAATAGAATCAAAGGGTAGTTGATATTGGAGTTAAAGAATGTATAAACTGGAAAATAGGAAGTGATCATTGATCTTTCTAAACCCAGGTTCCAGTATATGACCCTGGAAGTAAGAGGTGAAGTTGCAAGGCCGGTAAGTGAGGAAGATTTCAAAGAGCTAAGAGTTCCAGGTAGTAGAACAATTACCCTCATGGATTTTGAAATATCCAATAATTGTACCTTGTGTAATATTGAGGAGAAAACCAGTGATCCAGGATATAAAATCTTCAGAGGATGAGAAAAGGGATGTGGTAATGAGGGTAAAGTGCCATTAAGAAGTGGAATATAAGGGCTTATTAGTTAGCATTCGTATTATTGGGGCATCATACCCAAATCCCACACCTTAAAGGAAGACAGGCTTAATTTAGGTCAGAGTTTCAGGGCATTTAGTCCATGGTTGGCTGGCCCTAAGTCAAGAACATCATGGCAGAACTGCATGGTAGAGCAAAGCTCTACTAAGGATCAGAGTATAGGAACAGTGCAAGAAAGGAAGGGAGTACAAGTCATATATAATACTCAAACACCTTCATAACACATGCAGAACTATGCTTTACTAATAAATCCCTGGGTGTTCTTTAATCCAGTCAGACTTACATATCATAATTAGTGGTCAACAATCCACCCATGCCAACTTGACAGCCAGACATATTTTAAACCATACTTAATCACCAAATAAAGATATCAGTAAGTTCATAATTTTGGTTGACATGATACACTATCCTATGTACAATCAGAAACTCACTAATTCTCTCCCCAATGTCTGCTCAGTTGTAGGTTTTTCAAAGGCCAGTGTCAAAGTTTCTTTTGAGACACAAGACAAACTTTTAGCCACAGATCCTTAGAAAAATAAGAAACAAGTTATATAATCCTAAGGTATAAAATGGCACACACTAAATATTTCCATTTGAAACAGAGGATTGGAGGATGAACGAGAATCAGACCAAAACAAGACCAAACCCCAGCAAAACAAGTATTTAATACTGCGGTTCCATGTCCAAAATCCATGGCACATGGTGGTGAGATATGAGATCTAGAGGGCATGGGTGGTACAAGTCCTATAGCTTCTCTTTTAGTCTGGTCCCACTCAGCCTGCAGCTTACCTTAGCAATTGTTCCACATCCCTGGCACCTCTGACTTCCTGGGGTCTTCACTGCAACTTTGGCTTCATTCTCACACTTTCACACATTGTCCGTTCAGGGGCTCCTTGCCTGGCCTCCCAGGCCTTCCTTTAAAATCTGGGTGAAAGCCTCCCTAATCCTACACCTCTTGCCTTCTGCATACTGATAAAACCAGCATTGTATTGATGACCTGAAGATAGGCTGTCAGTGCAAGCAGTAGACAGGCCACCCTGGACCATGAGGGCTACACCATCTATGTATCTAGATGGCTAAGCACAGTGAAATAAATTGTGGAAGCCAGTTCTCTAGGAGGTCTTCTCAAGTAGAGATGGCTTTCCTTTGCTAGTGAAAGGTTGCTAATTTTGCATCCTTAAGCCTACAGTGAGTGAGGTCTACAGTGAGTGATGATTTCTGGAATGCCCCCAGGGCATCTTTTTTTGTTGTTGTTCCTGTTCAAAGTACTTGGTTCTTTTAAATGGTGCTATTATCTTCACCAACCACACCTCCTTTGATCCCAGCTTTACATGATTCCTTTGATGCCAAAAGTTAAGTTTTTCCAATTTTTATGCTCTGCTTTGTGTCTCAGATTTTCACTGTAAATCTGACTAAAAGCAGCCAACAGTACCCAGGCCATGGTGAGAATGTGGAGCGGCTTTCAAATTTCTTCCACCAGATCACTACCCTTAATCTCAGCCTCCTACAGAGTCTCAGGACATGGTCAAAATGTCAAAAAATATTTCAGAGAATATAACACACATGGTCTCTATCCAATTACTGATGAAGTCTTTGTTCTCAAAAGAAACTTCGAGAGCCTAGTCTTTATATCCACATTCCTATCAGCATCCTATTTTCTGAGCTTTGAGCAGAGTCACCCACCATGCTCTGCTTATTATAGCGTTGTAAGCATCTCTAGGCCCCATCTCCAAATCTTGCAAAATTCCTCCCTCAAGCCAGTGCAAAGGCTTCTAAACCACATGGTCAGGCACAGTTATGGCAATGATCCCACTCCTGGTACCACTTTGTCTGTATTAGTTAGGTTTCCCATTTCATGGAACAAAATATGCAACATCTACAACTTTAAAGGAGGAGAGGGTTAATTTGGCTTATGATTTAGGAGATTCCATCCATGGTTAGCTAGCTCCAAGGCAGGAACATCATGGTAGAAATGCATGGTGGAACAAAGCTGCTCGCTTCATCATAACCAGAAATCAAAGCAGGGAAACAGTAGGAAAGGGCCAGGGTTCATTGCAGTACCTAAGGTCACACCTCCAGGACCCACCCAGACATACGCAAAAGTGTTCTTTAATAATCTCCTGGGTGTTTCTCAATCCAGTCCAGATGACGTGCAATGATTAGTGATCACACATGGATGTTGAAACTATGGATTTTACGAAATTTTTCCAGGGACTGTGTAGTGAAAGAATAGACAACTGCAATCTGACTCTAGGTGTAATTTACAAAGAAAGATTCTAAGAACAGAAACAAATGACAGGATTGAATTTTATAAAGATAATAGGGCATAAGGTCAAGTGAAAGAAATTAAGAGTTGAAGGTAATGGCAAAAGAGTGATTTAACTGATAAATTGTAGATTCTATTAACTAGAGAACAGAAGTCTAAAAGGTTAATTGCTAGAAAATGGAAAGGTCTGGTGATTATGCATCTCAAGGAATTTGATGAATAGGAAACTAGTGTTACAGAAACCATTTTTTCTGGTCTTTTTGAGACAGGGTTTCACTATGTAGTTCTGGCTGGCCTTGAGCTCACTTTGGAGACCAGGCTGGCCTCAAATTTGCAGTGATCCTCCTGCCTTAGCCTCTCAAGTGCTGTGATTACAGGCATGCATCATCATGCCCAGCTACAGAAAGTCAATTTTCAAGAAGGGAGAACAGTCAACTTTCAGATGCTACAAAGATAAGTACTGAAAAGAATACCTTGGATTCAACAATTTGAAGGGATGGGTGATTTTAATGGAAGTAGATTTTATGCAGTAGAAGTGAGTAGAGCTAGGCTATACTGAATCATGGAGACAGCAAGAGATATAAAGAAGTAGACAGGACTGGGGTGTAGTCGAGTGATAGGGCCCTTACCTAGTATGTGTGTGGCCTTGTGTTAGATCTCCAGCACAGCCCCCCATTCACAAAAATGTATTCTTATAGAATATGTTACTAATATTTTAGAAAACTGTCTGTGAAAGAAAGAAGACATGTAGTAATAGGCAGAGGAAGGCACAGCTAAACGAAATGTGTTTACCTTGAGAGGGTGACTGGGGCATAATTATATGCTCATGGGAAAATTAGAATAGCAGACCTGAAATTACTGATGGAGAAGAGTTCCTGAGAAAGCAGTAAGAGGCTGTTTCAGAGTGTGGCTAAAAGACAGATCTTGGATAAAAACATCACCGTCACCTCTCACCAAAGGAGGAAAACAAAGATGAAAAGGATTGAGACAAGCTTGCAAGAGACAGAAGGAGTCTTTAAAGATGCTAGAGAAATAATCTAGGGTTTTTACATGATTGATACTTTTTGATACTTTTATTAATGTACCATTTTATTTTATTTTATTTTTTGATACTGGAAATCGAACTCAGGACCTTGCACTTGCTAGGCAGGCGCTTGTGCCACTGAGCTACATCCCCAGCCTGATACTTTTATTAATGATGTTGAGGGTAAAATCTTTCCTTTAGAAACTAGTGGAAGGAGGGTATGTTTGGCTACCTTAAAAGTATATAAATTGAAGATAATGTACAAAAGGAATTCATTTTCTCATTTGCTTAAAAAATATTTAGTATGCATGATACATGCTGTGTATCACTGTGTGTTAAGGACACAGTAATGCGTAAGAGAGTTCCTGTCCTGAACATGCTCACGGTCTGTGGAGGAAGAGAAAGCAAGAAACAAAGTGTAAGGTAGTGGTAAATGCTATGAAGAAAAAAATACAGGAAGTGGGTTGATTTTTGTAATTTAAAAATATTTTATTCTTGGGGCTGGGAATTTAGCTCAGCGGCACAGTGCCTGCCTGGTCAGCACAAGGTCGTGAGTTTGATTCCCGGTACCAGGAAAAAAAGAAGTATTTTATTCTTATGAGATCTTTTAGGATTTAAATGTAAACATATTGTTTGGAAGTGTACTTCATTTCTATCATCTAAGGAATGAACATGCTCATTTTATAGAAGTCTATAGTATAGAGTTCTAGAATGAATAAAATGACAAATATAGGTCCTGTCTTACAGAATTTACAGAATAAATACAAAAGTAAAATTGTAATTTTATCCTGGGTACTTAGTTTAACTATAACTTCTCTTCTTATTAAAACTTATTATGTGCTTTGTTCAGACATGAATATATTATTCCTTCCTATGTTTTTACTCATGTTTAAATCTCCCTAGGGATCTGCACAGTACCCTTGTTTGTCCTTACTACATAATACTACTTCCTGACTATGCTTTATAAATTAATTCATGTAATCCTAATCATAACCTATGATTTAAGTACAGTTATTATCTATGTTTTATAAATAAGGAAGCTAAGACCCAGAGAAATCCACATAGACTTTCTATGGTTGGAATATTTATTTCCCTTTCAGCCTGTGTGACTTGGCGTAGACTGATGTCAGTAGGAACCCCCAGGGTGGTTGTGGGAGGAAGGGTGACATACTGTAGATGAACCCTCTCAAACTATGCTAACACAAAATAATCTCTCCAGGGATCATTATTATTTCACACTGTATGTGTAGATTATTCACACATTTTTGAGCGAAAATTTTCTCTTTTATTATTGGTTGGTTTTTCTTTTCAATTCTAGATCCTCTGAATGATACTTTATTTTCCTTATTCACCACTAGTGTCTTACAATCAAAGAAGTCTATTAGCTTTACTGAAAAAGCAAAAGAAAATCTGAAGAAAGGATATGCTGCTGCAAATCAAAGTAGAATGGGTGTATCAAGAAACTTAGTTATTCTACCTGAGATGAAAATGACAGAAAAAGTGAATGTTTCCAGCACTAAGATAGTACAGGTAATGTTCTTTAGAATTCTGGTATATTTTCAAATTGCATCATGAAAAATTTGATTGTCACCTTAAAGTTAGAAAATGTAGTACTGCTTTTAGAAAATCACATCTAATATTGAAATACTGATTTTCTTAGAATCTTTAACCCCATAACATTTCTTATAGTACAGTATTGGCTATTGGCTCCTATAACTCATTATTGACAAGAAGAATTTAGGAGTAGAATAAAGAAAGCCTATTAATGACCTTACCTCATGTTTATGGTAATAATTACAGCTAATACCCTACTACTATCATCTACTTTTCAGCAGTGTAGTATTGCAAATGTCTTAAAAAGACTTGTCATATATTAGAAAACTGATGAAGTCAGACTTTTTAAAGCTTTTAATCAAAGCATAACACACACACATACACATATATATAAAAGTACATTTCATGTACACATATATGTTATAATTTTGGGCTAGATGATGGTTTTTGACATGGGAGATTAAAAGCACAGTTTCTAAAATATAAAACTGGTAAATTGGACTTCATAAAAATTGCAACTTCTGCCCTTGGAAAAGACATTGGTAGCAGAATGAAAAGAAAAGTCACATCCTGGGGAAAAGGCATATGCTTTATATAACATAAAGCATATCCTTAGAAAGTACTTGTAACTCTATAGACCTGTAAATATATAAAGAGCTTTCAAAACAATATTAAGGCAACCTAATTTTTAACAATGAGCAAAATACTTGAACAATTATATTACCACAATAGACATACAGATGGTAAATGAGGATATGAAAAAAGACCAAGGTCAGTCACCAAGGAAATGCAAATTAAAATCATAACGTACAGCTAAATACCTGTTAGGATAGCTAAAGTTTTTTTTGTTTTTGTTTTTTGTTTTTTTTCTAGTACCAGGAATTGAACTCACGACCTTGCGCTTGCCAGGCAGGCGCTGTGCCACTGAGCTAAATCCCCAACCCTGAGGATGACTAAAGTTAAAGACCGGCCATACCAAGTGTTTGCAATCTGTAGAGGACCTAAAATGTTAAATACTCTGATCCTAGATATGGAAAATAAAAATTAATTTGGCACATTATTAAATATTAAGCATACATCTATTATAATACTCTTCTACTTCTAGATATTTACCCACAAGAAAAGAAAATATATGTAGATATAAAGACTATTACATGAACACTGTATATTTGTGTATATATTATATACGATCTCTCTGCATATATATACCCACATACATGTATACACATGAAAAATTGAAAGGTTACCTGCTTTTGCTACCTCTGTTAAACATGGTAGTGACAGTCCTAGTCAGAACAATCAGGTAAGAGAAAGAAATCAAAGGTTTCCAAATTGGAAAGGAAAAAGTAAAATTATCTACTTGATCTTACATGTAGAAATCTCTAAAGGATACACAGACACACACACATAGAAATAAACTAATAAACAAATTCCACCACTTGCAAAAAAGAAGGAAATCAATGTATAAAAAGGAAGTGCTCACTTCTTCTGCAAATAGAATAGCTTCCCCTGCTTTTTTTCCGGGTCCTGTTGCATAAAGTATTGCTTTCCATCCTTCGACTTTCAGTCTATGAATTTCTTTTTCAGTTAAATGTGTTTCTTGTGTGCAGCATAGCATTAGGTCTTGGTTTTTGATCCATTGTGCCAGTCTATTTATTTTGGTTGGTAAATTGAGAGCATTTACAATGATGGGTATATGTATTGACTTACCCTTGTCATGTTATTTTCTTGCTGTTGGTTTCCTTTCTTTTCCCTCTGTTTAACTGCTGGTCTTACCTAGTGGATTCTTTGTATTGGCATGTACGGTACAAATTCTCTATGATGAATATGATCATTATGTATATTTAAATGGTACCAATAAACAATAACAGTAAAAATAGTGAAGTGCTCAAAGGAAAACAAGTAATCCAGATTTTATATCTAGCAAAGCTGCGGTTCAAAAGTAAAGTGAAATGCTATCCCAGATGAACAAGAATTGTGAGAATTTATTGGCAGAAGAGTCTCCTTACAAGAAATAAAGGAAGTTTTACATATCGAAAGCAAGTAACTCCAGGTGATAGTTAACATCTATATGAATAAAAAGTACAGCTAAACATCATTCTGTAACTATAACAACACCATTATCAGACCTTCCTCTTTTTCTGAAAAGCAATTGTATAAAATAATATATACATAATCACACAATAATAGTATAAAGAGAGTTGGTGGGAGCAAAAGTGTAATGAACTAAAGAAATTTTGACAGGTGAGAGGTTAATAATCATAACACTGGTCTTTTGTATTTGCAATACTAATAGATATGATATACATAAAAATAATACCCCTGAGGGTATTATTATCCCGAGCTATCTAGGAATGATGTTCCAATATATTAGTGAAATTAAGCAAGTGTAAATCCAACCCTGAGTTCTAGATGATGTGTATGGTAAGCTTGGGAGCAATCAGTTAAAGTTTCAAATACAGTGAAAATTTACCACTGAAGTCAAGAGACTACCTTAGAAAACACCCACTCCATGCAAGGGAAAAGAAATAATACTGTTCTCTTACAGCGGTCAAATTGTAGAACAAAATCAATAGATCAAGAAGTTACAAAGGAAATTGGAAAATATTTAAGATGATAGATAGTCAGAATGCCAGTGCTTATTGGATGCAGCTTAGGCAGTGCTTAGAAGGAGATTTGTAGATCTAAGTCCCTACATTAGAGAAAAGAATGACAAGGCAGGTGTAGTGGCACATGCCTGCATGGTCACCATTTGAGAGGATGAGGCAAGAGGATCACTTGAGCCCAGGAATTTGAGGCCAGCACTGTGAGAACCTGTCTCAAGAAAGAAAGAAACAGTACCTGAAATCATTAACCTTGGAATTTAAGAAAATGGAAAAACAAACAACACTTGATAATGGATGGACAAAGTTGTGTAATATCATTTCTATTTTCTAGGTCCTACTGCCTTGAAGACCTGCATTCTTTAATTATTTCATTTTAAATAAACATTTCTACAGGTGCTGGATAAAAATGGGGTTGATGTTACTCCCAGACCTCTTTACAATCCAGATCCACATACAGCAAAGCCAACTAAACTACTGTCATCCCAAGAAGGCTCACTTGGGTCAGATATTATCGCCTCCTATAGCATGTATCAGAACACAATGAATCCCAGTATGATGGGGCAGTTTACAAGGTAAATATACTATTGCATAGCTTCTTTCTTACCATATATATGGGATTTGCATTCAAATTACATGCATACCTTAGGTATCAATTGGTTGTCGTCTCCCAGCTTGAGTGTGTCATCTTAGATGCAGGGCTCTGCATGACGTAAAGAGTTCCCCCACACACCAAACATAACTGTAAAATGTGTAGAGATTTTACTTAAGATTTCACAGTTAACCAAGGGAAAGGGCTACCATTCACACTCTCACAGTTGACTGCAAATTCCCACTAGTATTTTTCCTTAGTTTCTTTAGCTTCTCTCATGCTATGTTTTATGGGAAGTGATGGGTTTCTTTTTTCCCCCCTTCTCTCATGAAAATCCTTGTTCTTCTAGGAATTGATTTCTATATTATTTTAGAATACAGAGCAGTTATATACTGCTTGTCTTACTTTCTCATCAGTGACACACAATACCCAACACCCACAAGTTAAAGGAGGAGAGGTTTCTTTTGCCTCACAACTGGCAAGGATTTCAGTCCACAGTGGGCTGGCTCCACAGTGGGCAGGACAGCACGGCAGAGGCCCATGGTGGAGGAGAAACAGTCCCCAGCAGGGCAGACAGGAAGCAGAGAGAAAGCTCAAGGAAGGAGCCAGGAAGAAATAGACCCAGGCCACACCCCCAATGACCCAGCTCTTCCTACCATTCTACCTGCTACCTTCAAGTAAGCTATCAGCCCCCAGGACCCAATCACCTTCCAAAAGCCCCACCCATGAGCACATGAGGTTTTGTGGAGACATCTAGATATAAACCAGAACACTGCTGTACAACCTGCCTCCACATTTGCAGACAGAAAGCACGGGGATGCCAGGTAAAACAAACGATATTCTAATAAGCTTGTCCCACTGTTTAAGTGGGCCATTGAGATGGTAAGGAGAAAAAGTATATACTTCACAGAGTGATGTTAACATGTTTAAGGAAATTAGTTTTGGATTCTTTCTGTTGATTTCCTGCTGAGTCCATAGATTTGTTTTACTTCAGTTTGAGAGGACCCTTATAAAACTGAGCAAAGCACATTTTTAAGATGATACTTGAACAGCGAACAGGCCCTGAGATAAGATAGCTCTGCAAGATTGAGGAACTAAAAAATAAAAAACAGTGACAAAACAGTTAGGGAAGAACAGTCATAGAAATGAAGAGGCTGACAGGGCTGGGCTCTATTTTGGAGTTTTGTCTTGAACATACTTTTATTTTAAATATATTCTGAATGACTTTAGGCATAAATTTGACATGTGCTAGTCTGAAGTATATTTTAAATCACTTCTGATGTAAAGAGCATTCAAGTCAACTCAATATTTTTCAATATATTTTGATCAATGTACTTTGATCTATGTTGCTGATAAGATTATAGTGTACCGATTGCTATAGCTAATGTTCCAGTTGACATACAAATAGATTGCCTATAAAGGCACTGAAATAAATGGTAATGCTGTCATTCACTGCTGAAGGTCAGCTTTAGGAAGCACTACAGTTTCCAAGTCAAGCGCATCAACGACTGAGTCACTGGCAGAAGACTTAGAAGAACCTCCCTATAAACGTGAACAACTGGCTAGTTTTACAGGTAATAAAAGTACACTTTTGTCTTTAATCTTATTTCTTCACTCATTTTTAATGATAACGGGCACCCCCCCCCACACACACTCTTTCATATATTTGTGGGGTTGTTAAATGCTAGTGTCATAGTCTGTACGGCATTGTAGGATCTCCCCATATCTTAATCTGTGTACAAATACAGAGTGATACTCCCCTGATAATGCTCACATAGCCAGCATTTGGAAATCACAACCATACTGCTTTTGAAGATATCAATATGTAATACAACCACCATTGTTAATTCCCTCCCACTTTGTTTGTAACTCTGTATTGTCTGTACTGTGCTTGTGATATGTTGTAAAATGTTGTATGTCTGTTAATGTTTCCCTCCTTTTATCTTTAAAATAAAACAAACAAACAAACAAAAAAAAAAACCATACTGCTTTTATCTCAAGTACTCAGAAAGAAGAATAAGCATGTTGGAGAAAAAGGGAAGGTACCTGCAGTAAATGAATGCTTAGATTTTGGTTTCTAATACTAGTTTCCAGCAAAAGGGACCAGGGGTCTATGGAAAAATGCCGGAGTTTTAGTTTCTCAGCACTGGGACAAATACCTGTAATTTAAAGGAGGAGAGGTTTGCTCTGGCTCATGTTTAGAAGTTTCAGCCTTTGAATGGTTTGCGGCATGGTAGAAGCGCTCTGACGGAGGAAAGCTGCTTACCTGCTGGCAGCCGGGAAGCCCAGTGCAGGCGGAGCTGGGAGGGAGATTCCTGCTTCCAGGGCAGCCCACGGTGACCACCTCTTCCAAGCACACTCCCCCTCCCAACAGCAAGTCAGCGCCGGAGCCCATGAGCTAATCATTTTCCAAACGCAGGGGGCTTTGGGGACCATTTTAGATCTAAATCATAAGAGATGATTCTAGGACAGGGCAGGAAACATACAAGACAAGGTAGAAAGTGAAGCAGTGCTTGAACAAAACAACCCTACAAAGGGGTGTGCGTGGAGTAAGGGACACACAGCCCTCAGGAGGCGCTCCCATCAGCCAGAGGTGTAACAATTTCCACCACAAAAGGAATAGCGCAGTATCGTAGCATAACTCAAATTATAAAATATCCATGAGTCCCTACTGATATAAATAACTGAATACGCAAAGGGTGGAGACTAGACAACTCTCCTACACAGAAGAGTTCTAAATAATTTATGTTGATATTCCTTTCTCAAGGTGGAGCTCAAACCCCCATCCTGTAAGTATGGGCTTTTCCTTTTGACTTTCTTCTAAAGAGTCCATTATACAAAGGGGGCAGGTAAAGAACAATGTTAAAGCAGCATAATACTACTTCAGCCCAGTGGCCAAGGCTCACCTCACCAAAGACACCATCACGCTGGTAGCTCGCATGCCTGACGTATGATGAGAATGACATTTTACCTCTATAGTCTTCCTCCCAGGATCCATAACCCTTGTCTAACACCAGGAAAACCCAAACCGAGGGACATTATACAAAAGCAGGTGACCAGCAGCTCTCAAAACATTCAAAGTCTTGAAAAACAAGGAAAGTCTACAAAACTGTCCGTCTAGAGGAAAATCATGACTGAATATAAAGTGGTATCATCGTTGAAGTTCTGGATAGAAAAAATGGCACTGGTTAAAAATTAAGAAAATCTGAGTAAAATATGGACTTTAAGTGATAATAAAATATCAGTTTCAGTAGCTGTAGTAAACATATCATGATAATGTTAAAAGTAAGGCAAATTGGATGCAGGGTGTACAAAAGCTCTTTTATAGCCTTGCAGATTTTCTGAACTGTTGAAACTATTCTAAAATTAAAAGTCTATTAGTGTTTTTAAAAGTCTAGTCAAACCTGTGAGAAGTCCTCTGGACGATTCTGATGCATCATAAAATTTGGGAAGCATTGTTTTAGTGCATAACCAGAAGAAGTTCTACACTTAGGAAAGCTCATGATTTTATTTCCAAAGCAGGGGCATAAGGCATGTTATACACCAGCTGTCTTTAGATGTTCTCAGTGGATGCAAAAAGGATGTAGATTTGTATGCAATCCACTTGTGAGAAGCGGCAGTAAACAGCCTTTGTAACTCAGTGGCATAGTAAGTTTATCTGACACGTTGTGGCTCAAGTAGAGGCCAAGGAAGGCTGAGTACTGCTTCGGTCAGGGGCCTGTGAAAGTAGCCAGATGATAGCGTAGGTACAAGCAGATATGGTAGATTAGAACCAAAATATTATGCTGTGGAGAGCATATGCTGTAATGCCCTCAAAGTTGGCAGACTCAGCGATCCATTCGTTTAAGCTTCTCCAATAACTCAGACCTCCCCCAACCCTCTCACACGGCTTCATAAAGAGATGGGAGGAGCCATGAATGTCCCACAGAACTGGCGTTCTCTCATTCTAGAGGCACCGTCAGGAGCGGAGGAAGATGCAGTCCCTCTGTCACTGGTAGTAAAGAGAGGCGCAGGCAAAGCAGATTGATTTGGGATCACGTCCTAGGTAGATAAAAAATAAAGGGGCCAGTGTCTGTGTAGGGTTAGTCTATAGTTAGCAGATCTGCACTTGTGAAACAAATCCTTTAGGTAGATGCTGTTGATTTAGTTTCTCAGCATGTATCAAATTCAAGCAACCTCCAGAAAATGATACAGAAATCCAGGCAAAAGTCCTGTTTTCTACCTTACAGTTTTGTCTATGAATGGTAGTTCCTCTGCCATTCATCTGAAGTTTGACAAGATAATTATTTGCCCCAACCATAATAGATAACTAAGGTTTTACTATATTGGGTTTTGTATATGTAGTGCATTGCTATGGCTTGTGTCTAGATGTCTCCCCCCAAAGCCTCACATGGTCATAGGTGGGGCTTTTCAGAGGTGGCTGGACCCAGAGTGTGTGATGCTGGGATCAAGGGTGTGTGATTACTAAATTAGTCTGCTGATTGTTTAGCATAGTTCTGGGTAGGATTAAGGGTGCCCCACTCTGGGTGTGTGTACTCCCTACCCTAATGGTGGATAGCCTGGATGTAATATAAAAGACACAGAGGGGGCTGCTTGCTTGCTGCTGCTGCCTCCTTTTGCCTGCCCTGCCATGAACTGTTTTTCCTCTGCAATGCCCATCTACCATGCCACCCTGCCTTGGAGCCAGCCAACCATGGACTGAAACATCTACAAACTGTGAGCTAAATATGCCTTTCCTCCTTTAACTTTGGGTGTTGAGTATTTTGTCTCAGTAATGAGAAAAGTAAGCAAGATAAGCATGTAATGAAGGATAATTTGATTTTGTAATTAGCATATCTGTGGTGTCACAATGCCACTTTCAGGTATATAATATCTAAATCTGGTGTTCTAAAAATAATAAAGACCAGAGAATCAGTGATCTACATTTTTAGATCCAAAATTTCCAGCATTCCTGGTGTTCTCTTGGACTTCTCACTTATCATTTCTATTGTTTATTGTCTTCACTGATACAGTACAAAATTTGAAGGAGATGTACCTCAAAATGAGGTCATGTGGATAATTCATTTACTGTTTCACTAATCTTAGCCAAATGTACTTTCACCAGTTGCAACATTATATTAGTTTCAGAATTTATTGCACAGATAACAGTTAACAACTTTTCAAAGAGAAGAATCACCCCATGCTAAAAACAATTGGCAATTATTTTCATCTTTTTGAGACAGGGTCTTGCTGTGCAGTTCAGGCTGGCCTTGACCTCTCTGTGCAGCCCAGGATGGCCCTGAGCTCATCGTGATCCTCCTCCCTCAGCTGAGATTACAGACGTGTGCCTCTACAGCCAGCTTATATTTTTTTTTAAAATAAAATGTTTTAGGTGGTGAGGAAGGAATTTTTCTCAAGTATGGGAAAGAAGAGAGAGAAGACTCAACTTTAATCTCTGGAAGCTGTGTTTTTAGGTCTTATTTTCCCAGTGCTACCGAAGCATCAGCCAGGCTGAGATCTCGTGGATCTCTGCTTCACACCTTTTTGTTAACAGAAAACACTGACCTCCGACCTGTGTGTCACATCATGGCTCTTTATCATCCACGTAAGCAATGCCAAGTTCACTCAGTGCTACAACTGTATTCATAGTACAATTTCCTAAGGACCTCGAACTACTGACTATCCTAAAGGTTTTGGCCAATCCTTTTCAATGTACTGCTCGTATGGACATTGAGCCCATTTTGTGTCAACTGGAACTTCTCTTGAAGACTATTGGTAGCTCCTGGTCAAGATGATTAGAGGTGACCTACACTCTAAACCAAAGACAACTTAGAAGAATGTTGCTGGAGCTATGGAAGTCAGCTTCAGGGCTGAAAGAAGTGGTGCCTGCCATATCTCCCAAACATACTTGCCTCCTTGTTCTTCCTGCATAGTACAGTCACTCAGTCATGCCAGAATCCCTATTAATATTGTAGGGTAGTTATCATGGGAAACTGTTGGAGTTATGACTATGAGTTGTTAACCAGGCTCAACTTAATACAGACAGTCAGCCAAGGAGACTGGTGAGAAGGCTCTCAAGCACAGTGCAGTTTCAGAGAGGTTGAACGGACTACATATCATATATGGCCTGTTCCACCACCATATAAAGCCACCTGCAGTGTATGATCTATCACGGTATTTTCCTGTCTAAGAAGAAAATGCAAATTAGCTGTAACAATTCGTAAGCGATTTTTATGAAGTTGTGTCTTTCAGATCTGCGAGTTATGAGAGCAGCCCCTGAAACAATCATAACCAAAGAAGACCTAGAGAAAAATATAGAGATACTACTCACAGAGACAGACACACTGAGATTTTTCGACCTGCCTACAGTCATGATCTCGGTAGAATCTGAAGAAGCGGAGAAAGTCACGTATGTGCATTTCAATTGTCTGCACTGCTTCTGTAGTTCAGGTGGAAAATCAGGCCTTTCCTTATTTCTGTGGTGGGTTCTTTATGGATGTACTGGACAGAGGTGCGTGTGCCTTGTGAAAGTCTATGTAAACCTCACACACCCTGTCAAAGTATAGGGAAAGTGTTTATAGTGTATGTCAGTTTTCCTAGAGGACAACCCCATAGTTTTACCATATGCTTTAATAACAAGGCAAGGGGCTGGGGATTTAGCTCAGCAGCACAGCACCTGCCTGGCAAGTACAAGATCGTGAGTTAGATTCCCAGTACCGGAAGAAAAAAAAAATAACGAGGCAAACCTTTGAATGGGAAAGAGGTGATGCAGGTCAGAGGACTCAAAGCTGTGGTAATCTAGGAGGGTTGAATTCTGGTGTTCTAGTGCACAATGGAGAGATTATGGTTAATGATAGCCGGAAGAGAATTTTGAATGTTTTCGCTACAAAGAATAACTGTTTGAGGTGACAGATGTTGTGCTTACACTAGTGAAAACAGCAGACCTGTATATGAACACTACATTTTCATGCAGCGCTACATATAAAATAAATACTATTTTGATGCATTTTAAGTTAGTTTTAATTGTAAAAGAAAGAACTGATGTTTATTTTGTAAGACTTATGGGAAAATATGTTACAGGAAAATGAAAGAATTTAACCTGTTGGAGCAGAGTTTTCATTTCTCTCTAGTAAGAACGTAAAAAGACTCTTGGTTCTTGCCTGATGTATTTTGACATTCTGTTGCTCGAGACGAGCACATTAAAAGTTGCCACGTATTCTTGGAGAATGGGCTTCTTGTCGTTTTGTCACTATTGCCGATAGCTTTTTCTCTGAAGTCTACTTTATCTGAAATTAATATAGTTACTATAAATAATCGTTGTTCAGATTATTTCATGCCAAATATCATTTGAATATGATTCATAGTACTAAAATATCCATCACTAAAATAATTTTAGGATATTATCCTTGCCTAAAATATAAAATACTGTGTAATGGGTCAGGCATGTTGGCATACTCCTATAGCTCCAGCTACTTGGGAGACTAAGAAAGAAGGATTGCAAGTTCAGGGTCAGGCTAGGCAACTTAGACTCTGTCTCAAAATTTAAAAACAGTCTGGGGATATAGCTCAGTGGCCCAGGGCCTCATATATGTTAAGGCACTCTACCCCAGAACTATATCTGCAGTCCCCTTTATCTTTTGTGGGGTTCTGGGAACTTTCCTTCACTTCTTATAGCTTGTAAATGTATCTAATCCAAATCCATTTGTACTGTATTTTACAGTCCAAACAATTTCACAATAATTTTTCCATGCAGTATGGGGTGTGAATGCAGGGGCACTCTGCATAGGAGTATGCCAACATGCCTGACCTGGTATTCTCTCATGCCAGCACAATGCACTGGATACATTTGTTTGTGGATTTTTTAGGTCAGGCACGATGGTACACATCTGTCGTTCCAACTCACTTGAGCCCAAGAGTGCAATGCCAACCTGAACAACATCAAAATCTCAGTTGTCTCAAATGGCCAGAGGTTAGTATGTCTCCTGTTTGCTCTCAAAAGCAAACACAGATCTCAGGAGGAACAGATACCCTGGTTAAGTTCTAAAGAGTCCCTCAGATTGAGGTTGGTTAAAATACACCAAACAAATAAAGAAACAAGGCATTATGAATGAGAATAAGCAGAAATAACAAACTCTAAATCTAGACCCTGAATAATGATATTATCATACATAGGATATAAAACATGTGAAATGTTTAAACAAATACAACAGAATTAAAATGTCATTAGCATTAAGAAACTATCAAGTTGATGACTCATGTTCGGGTAAAGAATTTTAAAGTGTGTTAGTATAATTGTTTAAAAAGCAGACATTGATTTGAATGTTATATGAGACGATTGAATAAAGATTTAATAAATTAGAAAATGGAGGCAAATAAATTATACAAAGTGAATGTTGAAGAGAAAATGGTTTATGAAGTGTGAGATAGTTTAAAAGCATGCTGACGATAGAATATTTAGTCAGAGTTTCAAAAGGGCGAAGTAGAAGAAGAAAGAAGAGGTACTATTCAGAGAGAAAGAGAGAGAGGAGAGAAAGGACTTTTCCAGAATATTGGGAGACACCATTCTACAGAAGGAGAAATAAATAAAAAATCCACAAACAAATGTATCCAGTGCATTGTGCTGGCATGAGAGAATACCAAATGTAAAGAGAAGGCTCTCAAAATAAATAAAGAAAATATCACCTTCAGAAACATAAACTGACAGCATTCTCCCTTTTTAGGGATAAAAGTCACCTCATTATTGGGGACTTGGCCTACCTCCAACCTCCTAAAACTAGTTATGGCAAAAGCTTAAGTCCAAGGAGACAAGTGGTACAGTTTTGTGGAGTCCAGGAACGTCAAAACGCTCTGGGAGGAGAGACAAGGACTCTTCTGGGTCACCATATTTGCTGCATTTTCACAGATATGGGGAATGCAGGAAGAAGAGGGTACATCAGAGGCAAGGGCCCTGAGAAACCAAAGCAGTATATTTGCCAATTAAGAGAAGGGTTTGATCTCTAAGTGCGGCAGCTTTATTGCTCTGGAATAGGAGGTGTCAGCAGTCCATGTCCTGGGCTGCCTCAGCTGTGGTGTCATCTTGACTTTAGAACACTGTGAGCACGAGCTTTTCCAACACAGCCAGAGCTCCCTTCCTGGCTGGCAATTTAACCCTTACATAGCCTGGTCTCCGACATCTCCCTCTTTTTGTTTTTGTAATTGTGGCAGTTGAGACACTATGACTTGAGGTTAGACAGATCTAGGTGTTGTCCGATTTGGCGCCCCCTGGAGCAGACTAAGAACAGAAATGAAAGACACAAGCGTGTTAATATAATCAATATAGTGTCGAATCCAAGCTGGATCTGGTGGCAGCAGACCTCACAGCTTCAAAGATGTCCTCTTTCTATGGCCACACATTTCAGGGTAGTATCCATGATGCTGTTTCATGACCTGTTAATACACAAGCATACCCTTGTCCCCGTGTTACTAACTATACTGGGCCTATTTTCTTATTTGGATGTCCTTTTATAGGATTTGTGCTCTTGGAGTCTTCATCGATTTGTCTTGTTTGTCAATAAAGTTCTGATGGGGTGTATTTTTTTCAGGCACATTAAAAACAATTTTTAAAGTAGCAAAGTCTAATTATGTTTGTGGGGGTTAACTGTAGTCCCCCTTTTGCTTATTTAATTGAGTTTTAAGAGATAGATGTATTCCTTTTTTTAAAGCCTGGCCTTTAGTGAAAACGTCTTTGGCCATAATTGTTTTTTTGGGTCAGGACCCACCACTGTCTAACCACTGGTAATACTTGTAACTAACGTAGCTGTCTACATTATTTTCCCTTTGAAGAGCTATCCCTAACTGCGGATAAGGGAGACTGTGTGTAGTTTCCATCTTAACTGCTTCGAGTTGAGAAGGGTCCATGCAGGGGAGTCCGTAGTCAGGGGTCCCCTCTAGAAAGCTAATCTAGTGGGCCTCAGATTGAAGTCCTATTGTAGTTTACCAGTTATGAACTCTCTTTATGAGGTTGATCTGGTGGGTTTCAGTAGAAGGAGTCCAGCATACCTATTGTTGGTTCTATCTGTACGATCACTTGAAATTTGGCAGCCTCTAGGCAAGAATAAACCAATTTTTTGGCAGTTAGAGCATGTATAATCAAACCATGAGCACTGGAATGGAAAAGCGAGTTTGCAAAAGAGCCACGTCTAAACACTGTTTCTATGAGACTGGATTAGTGAGTGCAACCCCGTGTCTCTCGGATCTCTCTGCTGATGGAGTCTGACATTTTGTCATTCGTCTCTGCAGTTTTAGCTGATCTTACTTGAAGAATTCAAGGATTTTTGTTGAGCTCTTACAGATTTTACTATAATTTTTTTTCTGAATGACCCCTAACAGCAGTCAGTTACTGGTGTAGCTGGAAATTGCCAGAAGGAGTTAGTGACTGGAGTCCTTTCCTATAGCTAGCTTGTGATCATGGCATTGCTTTATACATCTTTTGGTTATACTTTTCTGCTGGATGTTTAAGGCCAAGTTAAACTGAGAGTCGTATTAATCGAAATTATCCTCTTGCTATCTCTCAAAGTCAGTTAAGTCTCATCAAGATTTATCTTGGAACCATGTGCAGAGCCTCTCAGTTCTTTGGTCAGTGTCAGCTGTCAGGATGAGTGACGGCCTTTGCTTGACCAATCGCTTTCTGTGAAAGCGTGGTTGGTGTGCAAACAGAGCACAACCCCCTAGTCACACTGACAGCAGCTGGAGGGTGGGACCCTAATGTATCTCAAAGTGCTCCAGGGCTCAAATTTCAGCTGCAGAACAACCCCAGGGTCGCTTCAGTGCCAGTGGCTGGGAGTGGAAGGAGGGAAAGTCTGTCCATCACCACAGACAGCCAGCAGTTTGACAACAGATCAGAGAGAACTCGACTGAGAAGTAGGAGCTGGGACCCAGATTCCAACTAGGCAAATGCCGAAAGCCAGTTTTAGCCCTAGCTACAAAGGACTAGAAGCATTCCTGCCCTGTGCTGCAAATAGGCAAGGGCACCACCACCTGCCATGCGACCACAGGCAAATGGCCTTGGCTAGCTATGGAAAGGGCACTCCCGTCACCCTACCACCAACTCATGCAAGAGGGGTCAGCAGTGAGGCAGAGATCAGCCCCGCTCTCAGCAGTAATCCTGCTGCGGACTTGGCGGAGTTATTCAGTACGGGGGGCCAGAGGAATTGGTTTTTCTTTTTAAAATAATTACTTAAATTTTGGGAGGGGCTTGTGTGGGTTTTGGCTTTTATTGTTTGGTTTGTTTTCTGTCCCGCCTCTTTTTCTTCATTGGTCTTTCATTATTCTCCAAAATTTACAAATGAATAAACACGGTCTCTGGTTTTTTTGTTTCGCCTTGAAATTCATCTGTTTTCTCCTTCATTCTTTCTCCCCATCCTCTTCTCCAGCTTCCCAAAGTTTAGGTGATCATCCTTAGTCCTTCAGCCTTGCTTCTACTATATTTCTTTTCAGTTTCACTCTGTTTTGCCCCCATCCCTCTTGAATTCCCTTCCCCACTGGATAAAATCACCTTACCAAGGGGAAACCCACGGCATACCAATCCCTGGCCTATGTTGGAAGTTGTTGTACAACTATAGATCTCGCTCCTATGGTTAGAGATACCAAATTAGCAGTCACCACAGTTTCTAGGCTGTGCTTGATGATATTGTTATCACTGATTGTACTACTTTAGCCAGGATGCCATACTTGTAATCAGTTGTTCACCCTTGTATGGTAACACTGTGATAATCTGCGATCACAATCATCCTCAAAGCCCAGTACCAAAGGACCGGGTGTTGAGCCAAATAGATAGCAACACATCATCCCAAATAAAGTGTGAAGATAGGATCCTGGGACACACATACAGATCAACAGCCACCTATACCTCAAAGATATCTTGGAAGAATAGACATTTCCTAGGGAAGCTTTGATACCAGTGATAAAGCTACCTAACATAAGAAAAATACAAACAATAACACACATACTAGCCTACAGATCCCCCAAATTTAAAGACCCA